TAATGTAACAACAGAACGAAAAAATGGATGTTTGCAACGTTGCTGATTGTTTTTATTTCTGAGAATCAACATAGTTTCTTCCAACTAATTTCGTTCTTGTTGTTCACTTAAGATTTAAGCATGAATATATAGATGAATGTTTGCTTCATAGTTCAACGTGTATAGAAGAACAATATGGAAGGTAGGAGAGTGTTATGATGTAGAGTGAGAGAATTTTGTTGAAAGTGAATAATCGTTTTTTTAAACACAAGCTATATAAATATCAGTCATCGGCGGGACGGGACGGAATAAAAAGAATCTGATAGTCCACAGAATGTTTTCGACCTTCTGTAGCGAGAGGAAGCAGAAAAGTCGGGGCGAGAATGAACGAGCTTGATGTTTTTGAACGCTTTGACGAACAGACGGAAGAAAACCTTGTCTCACCGACTCTCTGATAAATACATCGGACAAAAATATGTTCTCTTAGATTTTGAGAATAATAAGAGTTAGGAGCTTGGTATTTTCTGTGGCTATAGTCGACACTAAATGCTGATGGCCGATATCAATTTCGGCTCGTTTCATCTTCTCGTCCATGAGAGATGAAGGCTTTCATTCTTTTCATAATAAAATAAGATTAGTGCCCAGACAGAGGCACCATTCTTTCATCATTATATACCCATACTGTATGGCTATTTATACTGGAATTTTCACTTCTTTATCATAATAACAAATCGAAGAATTCTCTGTCGCCCTGCTCTGCAACAGGGCAGGGTAACAAAAAATATATCGTCCTGCCAGGCAGAAACCGGCACCCTGCCCTGCAATGGTCTCTAATTGAAATATAATAATAAAAACTTCAGTCTAGAAGCAATAAAATATGTTTAAGATATACTAACATGATAATTGTTACATGTAAAAACTATAAGCTTTATATCTTTGGACATCTGCATAGAGGATATATATACGACAACGACTGCACTTATGGAAAGATTTAGAATCCTGACCTAACATAACTCCACAAGAAATTGTGATAAAGAAGTGAAAATTCTAGTATAAATTTTATTCGTAGGGTTTGCTATTTTGCAAAAATATATATCATATTGTCACAGGAATGTTTATAAAGGATAGAAGACTTCGTTAAATTAGCATTATTTTATTGTTCGTACTGCATATCTAGAAAATGTAGTAAATTTTTTACACTTTGATTACTATATATCTCATAATATAAGGACCACGGATCTTTTTTGAGTAATTCAAGAACGGAATGAGCTACAGAGCTGTGGCTTTCAGATTATGAAAAAGGACACTCGGGACCATAATCCTATGCTAAATGAATCTTGCCTAACAGGTGTACTAAGGTGTGCCTGTCAAAGCAAAAAGTCCACACATATCCCCAGGGCGAAGAATCTTGAAATATGATCTTACGGCTTGTCTGGCTAACGGTCCCCTTTTTTCACTCATTTTCAAAGAATCGTTGCAATAAAGCTAGGAATCCATTTCAAATTCCAAATAGATAATCTAGTAGAATAAATATTTCTCTACAAAATGAGAAATGTCTCGACTCTGAAAGCTGATTAGTTATGAAAATACAGTTATTTAAGCTGAAGCAGATATGTATATCTAGTGGAGAGAAGAGAGAGAACAGGACAAAATTAGTATGATCAAATAAAGGCAGAATAAGTAATACATAGAAGAATAAGTCAACAATGATAAAGTAGCCTGGGCAAGTAGAAGTACAATACATATAGATATGTAGAAAAAGAAGGAGAAAAACGACCTAGAACAAAACAGAATACAGATTATCGAGGATACAGACAAGAGGAGAAAATAGCACACACTAATAGATTGCGTATACTAATGACCAACCGCATGATATAACAAGCCGAAGGATCGGCACATGACAAACATTCTTTTTCGTTTTCTTGAAACAGTTGTTTTATTGGTCAGAAAATACTTGTTCCCCGTCTTAAGTCCTCGACCATATTTGTTAGAAGGCTGGCATTTTTATCAGAGATACTATACCCAAATCCTAGGAGGCTTTTTTTATTTTTTGAAAATATGGTATAGTTTTTAATTTTTCAGTTTTTGACTTTTGCTCCTTTTATAGCTCGCAGGAGATGCATGGGAGGCGATGGCGCAAGAGGCAGGTTTTATGTACTCATCGAGATACATTACCTGACAAAATTTCAGATCTTTCCCGCTTACAGTAGATATCCTGAAAAGGGAAGGAGGGGTGCCCTTAAAGACAGTATTCTACATGTTATATTATATGAACAAAATGTAACTACTTTATTCGTTTGATAGAGCAAAACCAACTCTTTTCCTACACTTCAAATTTTCTACTTTCTTAACGTTGCGGGCACACATTTATTGTAGTAACTGCACCTCGACCAATCCGAACAAAGTAAAATATCGTTATTTGCCATAAACAATTTCAAGTGGACGTACACAGATATATACATATATGATCTTGCTCAGTTTTTCATGACATTAGGCAAAAAGTCATGAATTTGGATGACGCGCGCCAAGTATCTTATCTAGGCCAATCACCTCCACCCCAACCAGCTCCACTCCAACTAGTTCCACCACAACGTCAACCAGATCCACGATGGATAAAGCTTAACAATATTTATATTTTATTTACAATTGCACAAACCGTATTAGCAATAATTATATTTTCCTTAGAAGTTAGTAGTCTTTCAATATCAACAGACTCATTTTACAAACCAACTGCATGTGGAATTTGGTGTTCAGTTATATTCGCCACAAGTATTTTATTAACAATATCTTATCGTAAGTTTATGTTCTGATATATCTTTCTCTATTAAGGCCTCACTCCAAAATCGAGCCTTGGATCTCCAGGGTCTTGCTAAATACCATATTTCTAACTCATCAAAATTGTAGGGTAAACATTTTTCTTGATAAACTGAGCACATCATCTAATACATTTTTATTTGGACTGCCATCTTGTGCTCAAGTTTTGGAACTTTTGCACCAGTTTTAAAGTAAAGCTTTCGGTTCAATTTGTAGAGAATTGAATTCTGTTTTTGATGTCAGCTTCAAACTTTTTGAGAAATTCTGTATGGAGGACCAAAAGTGGCATTTACTTAAAAACTTTGATCCTTCAAAATCCCAATCCTTCAATGGACGTGGGCTTTAAACAGTCAGTTTCTACTTCAAAAAAATGAGGAACTATGTGATTTTGTTTTTTAGTTTTTATCAGGGTTTCGAATGAGATGTTCCTTAAAGGGAACGAACATTTAAATGGCGGAGTTATATTCAAAATATGAGAGGAGAGTACTTTTCGCAAATCGACGATAATGGCCATTTTGTAAATTATATAACTCAGCCAAAATAAGTCAGGAGAAAAAAACATGTTTTCATAACCCCACTTTTGATAGTAGAATCCGAACAAGAGATAAAAAGTATATGTCAGTTTTTCATTCTTGACCGGTCTATCGCAAGATACTCGATCAACTGGAGAAGTTTCTCTTTAAGTATCCCATATTTCCAACATAAGTTTGGAACCTTTTGGTAAAATCAAGCATAAACCAGTTTTTATTTATTTATTTTATTAAGATGATGAACCTCGTGTTGCGGCAATATCACAAGGTGTATTGATATGCTTTTCGATTATCATGATTGGTATTGATGGTAATTTTGTACAGAATGGTGGTTATTATAGTAATTATTTATCTAGTCTTAACTCAACAGCTATTTATTCATTTACTAAATATCGTATAATTCAAGCACAATTAGGGTTTGCAATTATCATGATGGTTACAGGACCCATTGGGATTACATTGAGTTTAGCTAAGTGGCAAGTCAGCTCATTGTCTGTGCAAATCGTACAAATTATGTTAACAATAATTATATTTTCCTTAGAAATTAGTAGTCTTTCAATATCAATAGAATCATTTTATAAACCAACTGCATGTGGAATTTGGTGTTCAATTATGTTTGTCATAAACATTATACTATCAATATATTTCAGTAAGTTTATGCTTTAATATATTTTCATTATATTGAGCTATGAACAAAATCATTTTCATATGTAATATAATTATTAAAGTTGCTGCTTATAGTTTGTAAACTCTACTCTATAATCAACGATAACTGGTCTTCTAGTTTTATCTATCAACTAGTTAGTTAAAGGGCAGTCTTCTACTAGGGAGCATTTGGAAATATATTCCCGTCAGTCGAACGTCCACTATTGCATTATTTCACTATTTCTTCCTTCGACTACAATTCCTCAAGGTCGTTATTCCTGTATTTCTTTATTACTCTCGGGCAGTTGATCACTAATCATTGTACAACATTTTATGAGGCAGATCGCGGCTTCATGATTGAGACCACTTTTTTTGGATGATTATTAATCAGATTTAAAAAGTGGTCTCATTTTGAAAATGAAAATTTTATAGTAGAAAAAGCGGTCTCAGTTTGGAATGCATGTATTCTCTCGTTTTGTTATACAAATAAAATGTGATCTCAATTTGGAATAGAGTTTTTGTTCTTTTCGCATACTCTGTACATTGTTTATAATTTCGAATCGTTCTTTAATTAGGAATGATTGGCTACTGTAGACATAGAAATTGATTGAAATATTTTTCAAA